GACATGGTATTATTATTTTATTATTATTTAATTTTGAAAATCCTCATGTGCTATGTAAATATGAACTATCAAATTGTCAGGAGAAAGACCAGAAGTGTCCTTTCCCAGACATTAGGTAGATAGCACCATTGTGGACTTATTGGAAAGACTAGACAGGAGCCACATAGGATGGACAATAATGGATAGGTTGGGATTTGCACTGTTGATTTTTGGTAGCAGGTCAGGTTCCATAAAGGCCTCAATTTTTACCTTTTGATATTATTGTAACCAAAGACCCTCCCACTGGTGACCAAATGTGGACAGATAAATTCCAATCCTTTTACTCTAAACCAGTGCTTGTTACCGTAGAATGTAAGTTCTTTAAGGGCAGGCATTATTTCATTTTTGTCTTTGTATCTCTAGTGCCTGGCACAGTACCTGGAACATAGTAGGCACTTGGTAAATTCTTGTTGATTGATTGAAAACAAGGTATATAATAATCAATGACAGTATTATCATCTCATGGTGCTCCAGATAAGGACAAAAAAAATAGCCCACATACTCTTTAATATTCCTCCCTGAATATGTTTCTAAGAAAAAAAAATGATCTGCCTACAAAAAAGAAGATTGGAGAACACTAGATTTCAAATCAAATCTAGCTTCTTCCACTTATTACTTGTGTGATGTGGGGCAAATCACAATCTCTCTGGGCCTCCATTTCCTCATGCGTAAAATGAGGGGGTTGGGAAAGAGGGTCCCTCTTCCAGCTCTACACTTGTGATTCTATGATCTGTCACCCATAAAATGAGGGGGTTGAACCAAATGATCTCTAAGTTTCCCCTGACACTCCCTTAACTCATGAACCCAAATGGCACTCCTACACGAGTCTCTTAGGGATGTCCGATGTTTTAGTTCTTACAGAAAGATGAAAGGGACTACAGTGGGCCAGTTCCAGTCTTTATTGAAATGCTCTCCTCAATCCCTTTATTTTCTGGTTAGAGCTACTTTCAAAATCTTTCATAAATAAAAAGGTTTTTCATTCGAATGTACATTGTAGCCAGTTAGTTCATTTCTAAATAACCCCTTGCATCGCTATTCAATGGAGACTAGTAATTACCATAGCAACTGCAGCATGTGGTATATACGCTGCTCCCTCCAAGAAACAAAGCCTTTTCCTTTTTTTTTCTTTTAGCAAAATTATACACACACACATTAATTTGTGAGGTGAAATGTAGTATTTATAAAGGGAAAATATGCCTCCCAGGAAACAGCCATATCTTTACAAGCTTAGGATCTCTGAAAGTTGGTCCCTTTTACACTCCCCACTTCCCTTCCTCTTACTCACATATTGATTCATTTTTTAAAATGAATTTTTTTTTTGTGAAATGGAAAAAACTAGACAGGAAGAATTCTGTTTCAGTGGGAAGGTGCAGAGGTCAGAGAGATTGTGCATGGCTCCGTGTGGCAGTTTTCCTGTATGAGTGATTATTATACTACCAAGGGGATTCATTAAAATGAACCCCATTGCTGCTGCATTGAATGAGGCTGCCCATAAATTCTGCCATGAGCCTGTCAGTGGAGAAGCCCATATGTAATGCTTAACTATGAGGACTGCATCTGCTGCCTGTGTCTGCAACCAACCCGTGCATGCCTCCTATGCACCACGCATGTGAACGAATGCCCCGTTGACAAGAAATTTCTTAAATAGAAAGACTGTGAAAGCTAGTGAGACCAAGAAATTAAGAAGCCTTTTTCGGACTTGCTCAGCAGGTATATGCATGTGCATATATGCAACATTACAGTTCAGGTATGACAGAGTCTTGAGAGAACTCCCAAGGGGCAGTGGGGAGGGGTTGGGGGTGGGGGTAAGGGAATGGTTAAAGAGCTTATAGGCAGCATGGGACCACAAATTGCCCTTATTCTGCTGGAGAAACCAGAGGAAGGGGTCACGAGCCAGTGACTCAAAGGGACTGCTCACATTAGGTAGCCTTACTCACAGTCAAATCTTATGGAGGCTTCCCACACCTCCTGGACAGAGGAAATTTGGCCAAAAGCCTGGGAGCAAAATTGGAAGTGAACCATCATTTTGTTGTTTCAACTTACTCCATCATAAGCCCATTTTCATGGACTTTAATGAAACTGGGATTTAGAAACATTGCTTTGAGGAGAAAAATAGTTCATTCAAGTGAAAGGCTTTGCTGGGCCCCAGCAAACTGAATCTTTTACACTGTTGCACAGGAATTAAGTTCTACGGCCCTCTCTATTAATATCCAAGCGTTTTCCCTTGGAAAACAGAGACCATAACGTCAGAGAGGGGGGGACAGAGCATGGAGAGAGGGTGGGAGTAGGGAAAAGGAATGAAGGGGAAGAGGAAAGATGTGGACTCTTATCAGCTTTTGTGAAGCATTTGATGAAACATGGAAGCTGAGACTTTCCAAATTTACACTTTAAAATGGAATTTCTGGTTATTAATTCTTGTTGCCATGACTGGAGGAAGTCAATATTGACGGGGGCGTGAGATAACATATATTGAAACATGAATTTTTACATTCTTTCATTAACCATGTTTAAAAGTCAAAACTACAACTCTCTGGGGGAGACGGTGGTTTCTCTCTTCCCTGCTCCAACTCTGTCCATTCCATTTTTAGCGATTTCACTTCTCACGGTCTCTTTACAAGAAGCCACTAGATGGTGCCTTTTGCACGGTGATAAATACTGCACAGCAAACCTGTTTGTATCAGACCACATTCTTTTGAGAAACCTGGAAGCTAGACTTAGGGAATTATTATGCACAGTTCATTTCCTTGTAATTTAACTCTCACTGTAACAAAAGCATAATGTATAGCCTGTTTGGGGGGACTGATTTACAACAGTGTAAAGTAAAAGATGATTCCCCCCCCCACAATCTCTTACTTGCTGATATAAGCAGATGAGAATTTCCCATCTCACTTTCTACCCTGCCTTCTCACCCCTCCCCATCCCCCACCCCAGACAAGGCCCAGAATCCATGAAGACAAAAGCAAAACTAGGTTTCTGCAAATACAGGTTTTTGCAAAACTTCACTTTTCACCTTTATTTTAATATTTAAGTTCATTTTAAAGGAGGCTTCATTTCCGTATTACAAACTGCAGCTAGGCCTATTGCTTTTCAACATTAAGCTCTCCTCCCTATCCATCCGCTTCATTCATCTCCCTATGTCCTCCTCTTAAAAAAAAAAAGTTTGCCACTTCTATCCTCGAAATATTTGATAGCTAACATTTATATAACACTATGTGCCAGGCACTGGGCTAAATGCTTTACAATTATTACCTGATTTGATCCTCACAACATCTTTGGGAGGGAGGTGCCATTATTACCCCCATTTTATAATTGATGAAAGTGAGGAAACAGAGGTTAAGACTTGCCTTGCCCTGCCTAGGGTCATACATCTAGTAAAGTGTCTGAGGCTGGATTTGAACCCTGGCTTCCTGGCTTCCAGACCAGACTCAGCACGCTACCCACTGAACTATCGAGGTTCTCCTACCAGTTCAAACCTGAGATACAGAGGTCTTCTCCTGTCCTCTTCGCCTATCCAAATCTTATTCCCTTCTTAGAACCAAGCTCTAACACAAATACACAGGCATAGCCACCATGGAATCTTCCCTAATTATATCAACATTTATTTCTTTTCTTACTTTTTTTCTACCTATCTGTACCATATATTAATGCCTTATGATATACTGTCTTTTCCTCATATTTTCTATTCTGCAGAATCTACCACTTCATCATTTGCCATTTTGGTCATTAATTATTTGTTGGCATTTTTAAGTCTTTTCTCTCCCAAATAGACTATAAGGTCTATGAGGGAATTTGTTTTGACTGACTGTTCTTATGTGACACAGCAGTTCTGTGATTTTTTTTCCTTTGTTTTTTCCCCTCAATGGATGGAGGGAAGTGAGAGGAAAGAAAAAATAAATCCTTGAAGCATTGAAGATTTAGGAAATTGCATACTAGTTTTATCAAAACACTGGCTAATCACCAATGAAATTTTACCCTGTTTTTTTTTGTCTCCATCACTAATTAGCTGTGTGACTTTTTTTTCTTTGAGTCTCAATTTGGTCATCTGTGAAAACAAAGGCTTGGACTACAAGATGATCCCCGTGGATCAAGCTTTGAGCCCAAACATCCTAGAGTTTTAGGAATGTCCTACAACCCAGAAGATAGCAAACTACCCAGCTGTGGAATAAGTCATTATTTTATGCCCTCCTTGTCTACAGTAGACCTGCTTCTCTAGAAACCAACATTTGGGGAAGTGGTCTTACTTCATCTGTGAGATACTAAGCAATTGATCATCCCACTGTCTGCATTCTTAAAAAGCTTTATGAATGAGTAGTTTCACATATCTAACCCCAAAGAGAATAGTACTATCCACTCTACTGGATAAAAGGCCAGCATTGGAATCAAAACTTAGGTTCAACTCTGCCTCTAATAAGCACTATTATTTGATCATGGACAAGTTACTTAACCTCCCAATGTTCCCAGACTTAGTTATTAAAAGTTTGTCAATTGGCATTTGTGAAGGGCCTTTCCACACCTGAAGTACCTCACATTGATGAAATCATTGGCCTGTTGACCACTCCTCCATTATTGGTGAAAATAAAAATCACTAGCAACCTAAAAATGTGTATGTTTTGTGGGAAGAGGAAAGAAAAGATTCATTCTTACCCCTTCTTAGCTGTGTGACCTTGAACAAGTCATTTTACTACTTTCTGCTTCAATTTCCTCAACTGTAAAATAGGTATAATAACAGCACTTACTTCACACAGTTGTGAAGATCAAATGAGATAATATTTGTAAAGTGTTTAGCACAGTGCCTGGCACTTGGTAGATGATTAACAAATCCTTATCCCTTTCTACTCCCACAGCGCAAAACCAAAGTTCAATGAATATTAGAAGATCACATTTTTTAAAAGCTGTTCCCATATGAAGGTTGAGGTGGACCTTTGGTTGAGAATTAAAAACTAGTGTTTATAACAAAGAGGTAAACATCGAAAAGTGAGCACAGAATCCTAAAGTCCTCACATGCCAGGAAGAAAGCGAAAGCAATTCAGACAGGGACAGCTCCCGGCTCCCGACCAAGCAATAATATTGTAATGATCAAGGGGAGCATGTGGTAAGTGTACAGCACCTGCAGTCGTGTGCCTCCTTTTCGAGACATGTAATTAGGAGAGTAGAGCTGTCATTCAAGGGCACAGAAAACCTGTAACAGTCTTGGGGCAGGGAGTGGGGAGATCCATGAGAAAACTGGCAGGAGGACCCATAATAGCAGGAAGGAGGAGCAGGACAGGAAGAGGGGGAGGAGAAGAGGAGGAGGTAGACTTATAGCCACGGCTGCCTGTCTCTAAACAAACTTGTAACCCTTTGCAAATTATGACTCTATTACTATCCAACTCTTTGTCCTCATTGCAGTGAAAGAAGGGCCAGATCTCTTCTCTTACAATAATTCAGATTTTTAAAATTGCTTCTCCCCTAACCTGTCGAGTCTTGGATCAAGGTGACTGTTGCCAGCAATAATTTCAGTTGCACAATGCACCGTATCATCACTTTTAATTGCTATGATTCATGACTAACTACATTTACAAAGTTTTTGAATGTCACTGGGTAAAGACATTATATGAATCCAAAAACAAATAGAGGAAGAAATGTACCCAAATGCTTGGAAGACCAGGTCTATGATGATAGCAATTTGATTGGAAGCATTTATTAAGTATTTACTATATACAGGCTGCAGTGCTGGAGACTGGGAGGATACAAAGTTTCCTGGAGCTTGCAATAGAGGATTGGTTTTGTTTTTCAATAATTAATATGATATCTCTTTATTTCCTTCTTCCCTAGTTGTCAGTGCTCTCTCCCTCCCTCCTATAATTGTTGTTGTTGTTAAGTTGTTTCAGTCATGTCCAATTCTTTATGACCCCTTTTGAGGTTTTCTTGGCAAAGATACTGGAGTGGTTTGCCATTTCCTTTCCCAGATCATTTTACAGATGAAGAAACTAAGGCAAACAGGGTTAAGTGACCTGCCCAGGGTCACACAGCTGGTATGCACCTGAGGCTGGATTTGAACTTAGGTCTTCCTGACTTCAGGCCCAGCACTCTTTCCACTGCACCACCTAGCTGCCCCGCTCCTGTAATTACTTTTTATTAATTATTCTGCATACATGTTGCTTTCCCTCAAAAAGAATGGAATCTCTGTGAGGGCAGGATTGTTTTATATTTGTCTTAGTATCCCTATCCTTTGTTTCCCTACTTGAAAAGAAAAAAGACCCCAGAAACTTGGGATATTAATATACCTATTACAGCTACAATAGTAGGTGATTAATAAATGTTTGCCAAGTTGAATTGAATCTCATTTACTCCTCACAACAACTCTGTGACAGAGGGAACGCGAGTATCATTACCCCCATTTTGTAGGTGAAGGAACCATTCAGAAAAGTTACAGACAATTTAGTCAGGATCACACAGGTAGGAAGTGGCCAAACTGGAACACAGCTACAGAACTTCTCACTTCAAATGCAGGGATTTTCCTACAATACTACAACGTGCAGCAGCAGAACTGAAAGAATTAAGGATTATTGGACTCAGCTGTCCATCTTCTTACATCATCTTACATCAACTCCAGACTTCTGATTGATGGTGAAATACACAAAACATCAGGTTGGGAAAATATACTGGAAGTCTGGTCATGAAGGCTAAAATGCAACCTCTTCCACTCTCAGTCCAAAAGGAATATTGGCCAGTGCTTCTCCAGAAGACTTAGAGACTGTAGGGACAGGTTGGACAAGAAGAAGAGAGGAAAGAAGAAAAGAGGAAAGGAGACCAGAGGAGAGGACAGAAGAGGAGGAAAAAGGAGAGAAGAAAAAGCAAAGAGAGAGAGGAAGAAAGTGAAAGAAGAAAAAAAGAAAGGAAGAAAGGAAAGGAAGGAAAGAAAGAAAGAAGAGAGAGAGAGAGAGAAAGAGAAGAGAAAGAAAGAAAGAAAGAAAGAAAGAAAGAAAGAAAGAAAGAAAGAAAGAAAAGAAAGGAAGGAAGGAAGGAAAAAAGGAAGGAAGGAAGGAAGGAAGAAAGAAAGAAAGGAAGGAAGGAAGAAAGAAAGAAAGAAAGAAAGGAAGGAAGGAAGGAAGGAAGGAAGGAAGGAAGGAAGGAAGGAAGGAAGGAAGGAAGGAGAAAGGAAGGAAGGAAGGAAGGAAGGAAGGAAGGAAGGAAGGAAGGAAGGAAGGAAGGAAGGAAGGAAGGAAGGAAGGAAGGAAGGAAGGAAGGAAGGAAGAGAAAGAAAAAGAAAGGTTAGCAAAGTTGTCAGTTTCCCTTCCCTAGTGTTTCCTGGTCCCATACTTTGTTCTTGCTGACACTGAACTCAAACGGGTCAGTTTCTCACTTCCTTCTTGGGAAACATAAGATCAGAAAAATCATATAAGTTGGAGGAAGAAAGAAGCTTAGAATTCATCCAGTTTAACTCCCTCATTTTACAGTTGAAGAAACTAAGACCCAGAGATAAGAAGTGATTTACTTAGGTGCCTAGGTACTACGTAGGAGAGGCAGATGCCAAATCCAAGTCCTCCAATTCAACATCCAGTACTTTTAAAGAAGTACATATCAGTATCATTACCGTATTTTACAAGTGGAGAAACTAGAAAATGAGGTAACTTAACAAATGTTACTTAGAATGCTTTAGAGGGAGACAAATTACTTTTATAGCAAGTGGTCTTAGAGATGACGTTTGATACACCTTAGGAGCTATTCAGTAGTTTTGAAATATTGAAGCTTTGCTAATTAGAGGTGAATTGCCCGATTTCTCCAGGACACTAAAAACAAACAAACATGAAACAAACAAACAAAAATCCCTGAGTTCCTACTGATCTATTCTAGACTACTTCACTTTCTGATAAATTGGTAGCCGTAGGTCTCAGTACATTTTCTTCCATTGGTTGGGGTTCTCACAGGAAGAAGTCACGACTGTGGGCCAAGACACTTTTCAGAATAGAGCTAAATATTTCCAGTTTCCTTTTCACTTCATTATAGCTAGAGACAAAAAAGTGGAGGAGATCATCACCACCAATCTGCACATAGTCACCCTCTATGTTGCCATTCGGAAGCTGTCACACCATTTTGAGGGCTGAGATATCTCCTCAGGAGCAGAAAATTCTCCATCCCTTCTCACATGCCTCACTTGGTGACAGCTTATTATTCAAAGTGAAGGGTGCTGTCAGCCTAGTTTAAAAGTCCTATGCACAAACATGACCATGCCTCAAGCCAGGGATAGCTTTGGACTTTGGCCTTGTTTTTGTGGCAAAGTCCTCAATTTCCTATGTAATTCACTGGCATTAGCAGCAGCATTTGGTATTGGCATGCAAGCCTCTCTTGGTTATGCTAAGGAGGATTATTCAGTTTCTGGATTACCTCCATTGACCCCATCCTCTTCTTAAAAAAATTTTTCTCCAGTTTCCTGCTCATTTTCACTTCCATTAGAAGGCAAAGGAATCAAAATGCATGACTTTTTTGAAGTTCTTAGAGAGGTTTAGGTCTACAGATTTCACTGGTGATTTAGAAAAGGAAAGGACCTTGGAGATTATCTAGACTAGGAAAAACAACTCAACAAATATTGTCTAAGCACCTGCTATAAGTAAGGCACTGTGCTAGGCACTTTTTCACCAAGATGAAAAGGAAAAAAAAAATTAAAAAGCTTTATATCCTCTTTGGGGATAGAGCACATATACAGATGAGAAAATATAGGAACATTTGGGGCTGGAAATAGTACTAATACCTTTGGAAGTGGTGGCAGATGAGGAAGCCTTGTTATTATGGACAGAATCAGGATTCACTGTCTGGCAGTAGCATCCCCTCCCTTCTTTATTTTGCTTCACAGTACCTAAGACTGCAAAGGGCTCTTGTGTGTGAGATTTCTTTCCTCTATTTTTTTCCTAGGAGGCTCCCCTTATACTCCTTTTAACCAAAATTTCATTTGAATAAAAACATTATGGGGTAGAGAAGGCCCCGTATCCTCCTAGGGATAGCTCAAGCCAACAATCTATTGTTTTTATATCATATGTCAAAACATCAAAATCAGGTTCACATACACACACACATACATTCATACATATATACATACATGTATACATATACAGATATATGTATGTGTGTATTTTTTTTTCCAAAGGGAATGTCATTACTGAAATTAATTAGCCAGCAGCTATTTATCAAGTCAATACTGTGTAAGGCACAGGCAAGGGTGGAAAATGGGAAGGGAAATATGTAGGATACAAACAAATGAGAAGGCACAGACTATAGGTACTTGACCTGAGGAAGTTTTCAACTTAATTGGGGAAGAAAACTCATACAGATGAAGCTACTTAAGGAAAGTGATGTTCAAATATCCCAATGGCTCTGTGATCTCATGCATGCAGGTGTTCCTTCCAATGATGCAGATTCATGCCTGCCCAACCTGTGCAACTCTTATCCATGTGGTCTCACAAATTTGAATCAGGGGTTCTTCCCTACATGCTGGGGGCCTCTCTCCCTTTTTAGACATCTTAAGAACATTGGTAGTGTATGTGGCCTGTCCATCAGTTATTCCTTGATATTGCCAGGTGACTGACCCCATTCTCTTTTCTCATGCATTTAATTTTTGTTCTTTACGCTGTTTCTTCCTTGCAATTTGATGCCTGCAATCTGTTGTTTCCTGCTGCCTATCCATGCCCTCTGTGTGCCACTTCATTATCCTTCATGTGATTCTTAATTTCAGTTCTTTAGAAACTATAGCATTTCATGACTTACAAATATACACCAACATTGGAAGAAATATAAAGATGAGCCTTTGTTTCAAGGAGAAACTGAATGTTTAAAAGAACCTTGCATTTTCCCAAAGGAAATTCAGGATGTTCCCTTACTCCTACTCAATGCTAGACTGAGACTCATTCATTGTTCATGTGCAATGTCTGTCCAAGACAGACTAATAGATGAGCAAAACTGGTTGTCTGTCCAATTGCGTAGCATGGTCTGGGTAATAGTCATTCTTCATCTGCTTGTTTTTTCCTGTGTGGGTAATTAGGCTGAACATTTTAGAGATCTCATTTGGGAAGTGTTATAATGTTTTAGGGATGATGTAACCAGAACAATATCACCTGC